GATGCAGGGTGATCGTGTAGAGCTCGTTGCCCGTGGTGATTGCAAAGACGGTCAATGCATCGCGGTCGGCGGGCTCAGCGAAAGCGACGCAGAAGGGTCGGATTGGGGCGGGGAATTGGAAGAGGAGCGTCAGGTTTGCTTCGAACTTGTCGGTGTAGTCGTGATCGAAGTCGGTCGCCTGGATCTCGAGCATCTTCCTGTTGTCCAGCACCCGCCAGAGGAAGCTGCGCGGGTAGGCATGGTGCTGCCGAAAGTACATGGACCCATCTGTAGCTAGATGGCGCCTTGTGAAGTCTTCCTCGTCCTTGTCCGCATAGGATTCTGTGATTACACTGCGCTTTACGCTGGATCGTGTGCTGAAGGGGGAATGCGACGGGATCGAAAATGCGATGGTCGAGCCGGGGTAGGCGGGCTCAATGTTCAAGCGCGCCTCTTTGTAGAGACACGTGCCTCCATGTTGGACCATGGTGCTCGCATGCGAAGGGGATTCGGCCGTTGTTGCGGGGCTGAGAGGTTATGGCGCGCGTTTGGGGTCGAGTTGCGGCGGTCGCGCGGAGGTGAAGCTCACGAAAACAATCGTTGCGCGACGATGGATGCGCGAAGCTGGCTGGTGCACGGACGCTTTGTCCATCACCGCAGGCTACCCTGAAGGCAGCCCACTTAGCTCACTCCACACATACTATGGCCATTCAATCCCAAGATAGGCCAGACGGTACTGATGGACAAAATGCGCATTCATTCAGGTAATGTATTAGGATATCATACGGACTGCATAAACGTAAATCGTGTAAAACCAAAAGATCTAGATCGTCACGGCGCCATGACGCCTTGCACTTCATCTCCCTCATCACCTGTTGTTCCTCTCCTCCAGGTCCTTCTCCTTGGGGTCGCCAATACCGTCTTCATTGATCGCGAACAAGCAATCGCTCTCTGGCAGACACGGGCTGTCGTAGATCTTGCACACACGCGTCTCTCCCCTACCCTTTCTCAGACTGAGACGAGTCGTACTTGCGTGTGCAATAATGTTACCTCCAATAGGCTTCTTGGGGTCAGGGTTGAACATGGCACTTGGTCCACCGTCCACTTGCGCAACAACTTGGTTCGTAATTACAACGGCGATACCAAACTCGTCCGCAAGCCGTTGTAGCGTGCGCATAAACTTGGCCAAATGCGTTTGTCTGGCAGAGAGCTCTCCACGTCCAGCGAAATCTGTACGGTATAGTGCGGTGGCGGAATCGACAACGAGCAGCGAAAATCGTGTTTCTGTCATCATCTGTGCGGCCTGGTTGAGGAGCTCCAACTGATGATCCGAGTTGTATGCGCGCGCATAAGCAACATTGTCCAGAACTTCTTCGCCTGAGAGTCCGAATCGATTTGCGACAGCCAGGCAACGGACTGGACGGAAGGTACCTTCAGTATCGATGTACAAGCATTTGCCCTCACCACCTCCCATGTCGAACGGCAGCTGGCAAGTGACGGCTAGGGTATGGCAGATCTGACTCTTTCCCGTTCGGAACTCGCCAAAGATTTCCGTTATGGAGCCTGTTTCGATACCTCCTGCCAAAAGTGTGTCCAGTTGTTTTGAGCCGGTCGTGATAGAGATCAATTCGCTGCGGCGGGAGTGCATCTCGGTAGCCGTGGTGAAGCCCATAGGGACGAGTTTCGATGCTATTGAAGTAAGCAACAGGTGATGGAGTAGTGTCATTGCCACATACCCTCTGCAAGCAACTTCGAAGCCTTCTGTTCCGAAATTCCCTTTATTTGTTCGAGCGCTCGCCGTGGTCTGCCTGGCGTTAGTGGCGGGGCCAATTCCTGCTCAATGGTCTACATACGTATACGCAATCGACTCTACGGTGTTGAAGCCGCCCTCAACGATCAGCTTGATATCGCGTGCAGTCAATCCGTTGACTCCCTGGGGTCTTGTCAGTGTCTGTCGCACGCCCAAAGACCGAGAAAGCCTACCTCAAGCGCAGACACGGGAGTGGGGGCTCCGGGGCCACCCATGGTGCTGTCCTCGAACTGCTCTTCTTCGGCGCTCATCTTGACGGATTTGAGAGGGTAAAAGTTGTGGGAATGTGGTGATATGGAATTTGCGAGGGTGCTGTGCAGAAAGGAAGGATGGGAGGCGAGAGGGCATCTAGGTCAAGCGCGTCACGTTAGCGCCAAACGCGAACTCACATGACGAATCGCCACGCAGCCCTGGAACAGGCTCCAACGCTCATTCCCGACTTTACTCCGCAACACCATACACGCTTCACGCATTAGATACCCCAAGATCGTGTATTGTCATATTGATTTATTCATTTCTTTAATAGTTTCATGGTATCATTGTACGTAAAGCCATCGGTCTTCTCAAAAGACCTACTCGTCATCGCCAAAGAAGACCTTGACCGGCAGCCAAGAGTCACCGCAGACCTTGAAGCGCTCAGGCAGCGCGTTGATCTCCTTCATCTCCTCGTCGGTCAGCTCCCAGCCATCAAGCTGGAAGTTACCCATGATGCGGGACGCCGTGACAGACTTGGGGATGACGCTGGAGCCGCGCTGGAGACCCCACATGAGCAGAACTTGCTGGACAGACTTGCCCTTGTTGTCGGCGAGCTTCTTGAGCTTCTCGTTCTTGTAAAGGGGAGAGTCGGTTGAGCCGAGGCAGGAGTAGGCGGTGGCGTGGATGCCCTTCTCCTTGAGGTAGTCGAGGAGCTTGGGTCTGGCGTCACTGTTAATTGACGTGCGCATGGGTAAGCTGTTGGTATTTGACTTACGAGGGGTTGTTGGGGTGGAGCTCGATCTGGTTGACGGCGGGTGTGATCTTGGTGCGCGAGTCGGCGAACAGCTTCTCGAGGTTCTGGATGGCGAAGTTGGAGACACCAATGTTCTTCACGCGGCCAGACTCGGGGAGCTTCTGCATCTCAGCCCATGTGTCCTTGAAGTCCCAGTCGGGGTAGTGCTTCTTGAGGTCATCGGGGTCGGTCGATGAGGGCCAGTGCTGGGAGGTTCGTAAGCATTTCGTCTTATGAGAAATTGAACTTTCACAAACGTACCATGAGGTAAAGGTCAACGTAGTCAAGACCGAGGTCCTTCAGAGAGGTGTTGATGCCCTCTTCGACGCGCTTGTGCCATGGGTTGTCAAGCTTGGTAGTAACCCAGATCTGCTCACGGGGAACACCAGAGTCCTTGATACCCTGGCCAACCTCCTTCTCGTTGCCATAGGCAAGCGCGGTGTCGATATGGCGGTATCCTCCCTCGAGAGCGGCCTTGACGGCCTCACGAACCTCACCAGGCTTTGATTGCCATGTGCCGAGACCGACAGCGGGGATCTTTGCGCCAGTGTTGAGCGTGAAGTGCTCCTTGGTCCAGTTCTTGGGTGCCATTCTTGCTAGAGTACGAATCATAAATTGAAAGGTAAAGTTTGGGATGTAGGAGGATGGGAAAGTGGCAGGAAGCGCAAACTTTTGAATGGTGAGCTGAGCGAGGGGCACAGCCGACGCGTTGTGTACCCCTCCTACGTCAGGGCCAACATTCACCCATTGCATCGCTATCTCCACCGAGCAACTTTAAGCACCGGCATAAAACCTCCACGTATCAGGTCGCGATTTGCCCGCGGGTGAGGTTAAACTGGTGGGGTGTGGAGAACGATCCACCTGTCGCTAGTGCCCATGAGGAAGCCGGAACAGTTTCTACTTCTTTGCCTTTCTGCCGTTCAACTCCTGCATCCACTGCACCGCCCTCAGCATCCTGCGCTAGCCGTATAAGTGTGGACCGCAATGTCTTCAGGATTCGTCAGTGGCGGCAAAGCGGGTGAAGAAGTCGAGCGCGATGACGAATGGAAAAAGGCCCAGCAAGAGATTGAGGATGCCCGGCGCGCCAAAGCCGACTTAGCGAAACAACAGGATGGAAAAAGTCTTTTCGAAGTTTTGCAAGCCAACAAAGACAAGAAACAGGCCGAGTTTGAGGAAAAGGCGCGTTACAAGCTGCATGTTGCTCTAGATGATGAAGAAGCCGATTACCTGGATTCCGTCTTGGAAAAGAAGCGTCAGGAGGAGCTCAATGTAAAGAAGGAGACTTTCGAACAACTGGATCTATTCCGCAGGCAAAGGGAAGAAGCCGAGAGGAAGGCGAAAGGTCTTGAAGAAGAGAGTTCAGAGGCGCCCAAAGATGAGGATGCTCCGCAATGGGCAGCAGTTGGGCGGAAGAGGAAGAAGGGAGCTGAAGGTGGTCTGTTGAAGGGTGTGAAGCTGAGGAAGTCGAGTTCCGTACCAGAAGAGAAGAAATCCGTGGACGAAGGAAAAGCGAACGCGCAGTCTGAGAGCGTCAAGACAAACGTTTTATCCACCGCAACGAGTGCCAACGGATCGAAGAGTCCTGCGACGACGTCCGGAAACACAACCAGGCCATCAGCAGGGCAATCGACATCCAAACCGGGAAACACACTTTCGCTCGGCCTGGGATATGCATCATCAGACGACGAGGATTGAGTCGTCGCAACACCCGACAGCCACCTTCTAAGGGCAGCGCATACAGCTCAAACTGGCGCACTCGTCGATATGACACTTGCAACGCCGGCCCGATATGATAGTAGTTGCGCTTGCGCAGGTACACATACATGCGATCTGGCAAGCCTGTACCTAGCTGATGCCGACATAGCCGACAAGCAGCCTTGAACCTATTGGTATTGATACCAGGGAGCTACACACTGGGGATATTCACTTCGATGCACGTATGAGAATGGCTCTTCTGCGGGTAGACGAAGAACATCGCAAGACGCGACTTGCTGATGATGTCATTGGCTGGCGCTCGGCGGCGCTTACCTGTTTGTAGCGCCGTACAACGACCGCATTTTCCATCAAAAGTAACTATCAAACAACATACCATCTATCTCGAGTTAACACTCACCTCAAGACTACTCCCATCCGCATTGCACAAAGAATGACCTCGTGATAAGCTGACACTAACCGCCTCCCCTTTCCCAGTGACGCGTCCCGAACGCGCAACGTAGCAACAAAATGCCCCATCAACCCGCCGACAACGAGACCTCTCCTCTCATCGTCGTCACCAGACCCACTGGCCACTCAGAAGAAACCGAAAATGCAAACGACAGTACCATGGACACGCGACTCATTCTCAAGATCGCAGCAGCAATGTACTCCTTCGTCACGCTCGGCCTCTTCAACTCTTCCATCGGCGCCGTCCTGCCACTCCTCTCACGCCACTACAACCTCACAGACCTGCAAGTCTCATCCATCTTCCTCGTCAGCCCCATCGGCTACGTCATTGCAGCACAATGCAGCGATACCGTCCATTACCGCTTCGGGCAAAGGGGAATTGCATTAGCAGGTCCGCTGTTGCAGATCTTGGCTACGGCGACTGCGGCGACGCATCCTAGTTTCGGTCTTTTGTTGCTTGCGTTTACGTTCCAAGGACTGGGTACGGGTCTACTAGATGGAAGTTGGTGTGCGTGGGCTGGGAGTATGGAGAAGGCGAATACGGTGTCTGGGCTGTTGCACGGGAGTTATAGTGTTGGTGGGGCGCTGGGACCGTTTGTTGTTACGGTTTTGACGACTAAGGGGTTTATGTGGTGGACTTGGTATTCCATTTTGGTAAGTCGGTTAAGATTAGACGTGGGGTTTTATGCTGATGAGTATAGGCTGGAGCATGCGCTCTCTCATTCTTGGTCTTGATCCTCGCTTTCCGCAAAGAGACTGCGGAGGTCTATCGCGAAAGCAACCAGTCCAAGTCTCATGACTCCAACGTCGACGTCAAGGCCGTGTTCAAATACCGAGCTACTTGGTTCTGCGCAGCGTACTTCCTCACCTACGTTGGCATTGAGACAGCAATCTCGGGTTGGATCGTTTCTTTCATGCTGCGCAGCCGCCACTCTACCGCTTATGTCGCTGGTCTCTCTTCCTCGGGGTACTGGATTGGCATGGCAGTTGGACGACTGACTCTGGGTTTCGCTACGGATAAGATGGGAGTGCGTCGCGCGACTGGTCTCTACTTCCTCATCGCTATCGGTATCGACGTACTCTTCGCTGCTCTATCATCTGCGGCCGCATCTGTGGCTTTGATGACGACGTTGGGTTTTATCATGGGTCCAATGTTCCCGTCTGGCGTTGTTGTACTTACACGATTGCTACCAGCTGAGCTACATGTTGCAGCTGTGTCTTTTGTGGCCTCTCTTGGGCAGGTTGGAGCTGCACTCTCCCCTTTTGCTATCGGCGCTGTTATTGATGGCTTGGGTATTGGCGTTTTCAGGTTCGCGATACTTGCTGAGACAGTGGTGGCTTTGCTGGTTTGGTTCGCTTTTGCAAGACTGCGCCCGGTTTTGCAAAATGTATCTACGATGCGCCACGAGGACTGAGAGAGCGATTACAAGCTCTGATAAATTTGTAAAGCTACCTAGGTACTACTGCATTCAATCTCAATATGATTGCAAGCTGCTGTCCTGGACAACGTCGGAGAGTTACGTTTCGAGCGTAGACCGAGGTCAAATTCTGGCGAGCTCGGGGTCCCAACTGATGGGGCGGTCTCAAGATGCAGTGGGCTGCGTTGGGGGTAGCCCGGTCGTGACTTCCTCAGCACAAGAAGCTAGCAGTCCACGTGGAAAACGCACTATGATGGAAGGAAGGATCAATGGGAGAATTTGACAGATACACTAAACCCGATTTCCACGAAACCGTACCGTCGTCGCACTCGGAAGATTCCTGTTCTTTTCCGTAACTAACTTTTGCTCTTTTGGACATAAACAACTTCGACAAGAAGCAGAAGAAGCGTCTCCTCGCTGCCGCTAACTCCGCCGCCGCCGACGATGCGCCGCTTTTGGCGGATGACGAGATTGAGCCCTCTGACACCCTCGACGATGTCAAGTCCAAGATCCAGGACAAGGAGGAGTTTCCTCCGGACCAGCAGTACCAACAGTAGCAGCAGTAGCAGAATTAGAAAGAGGAGAAGGCTCTAACCGTCTTAATTGAAGGTGACGATCCGTCTACCACGGTTCACAAGAAAAAAACTGAACATGTCTGCAGACTACGTTGAGATAAAACCATGCAAAGTAGGTAGGCTAAAGTCAATGTAGGCTCTAGAGTGTTTAGCTTTTTCTAGGTTAACCTAAGCACAAGCAAGGTTTTAGGTTATTATTAGTATTATGTAAGGCTTTATTATATAAGCGCTTTATAAAGAAAAATATAATACTTTTTTACTTTAGATTATTAGTACTTTTCTATTTTCTTTTTATACTAACTTAGATTAAAGTAATAGTAGTAAGTAGTTAAGGCCTACTATATAGTAAGGCTTAAAAAGTACTAGTATAATATTTTTAAGCGCGTAATAAATATAATAATATAATTAAACGCGCTAGACTTTTTTACTATAGCTTTTACTACTTTTATTTTAAAGTCTATATTAACTAAATATCTTCTTAAAAAAGTATACGTATATATAGTATACTTTTTAATTTTAAGTACTTATTCTCTAAGTTTATTTTTATTATACTATAATTATTATTAAATAGACGCTGCTACATACTAATAAGTTAAAAGCTAGGCAGCTGCAGTAAGTGTACAGTCGCAGCCAAGATCAAGGTAGTACACAATAGGAATTCTGGGACGACTAACAGCAATGTAGACTTCTCGGTGGTTTCCCACACTGCAGCTAGATAGGATTCGTTTTGACGTAAAAGACAAATGAGCCGTAAACGCCCTCTATACCAGATCCCGCACGCACTTACTGCGCCTTCATAAACCTGACCATCATCGGCGGCGCACCCGCAGTGAAGTGATCCAGAATGCCATCCCAGTAAGCATTCACATCCGTCCCCTCATCAAGCACGACATCAAACTCCGCCACGACCCTCCCAATCACACTCCTCAACTCCATCAACGACAGAGCCTTCCCAGCACAGCTATGCGAACCTGTTGAGAAAGGAATGAATGCCTGCCTGTTCAGTACCAACTCCGGCTTCGTAGTCCAGCGCTCAGGTATGAATTGATCAGGTGCAACAAAGTTTCTCGCGTCGCGCAACAGCGGAAAGATGGGGATATGTACTATCATGTTTCCTGGGATGAAGTGACCGTTTATCTCCATACCTTGTGGCGGCGTGATGCGTTGGGAGCCGAAGAACACGGAGGGCCACATGCGCATCGATTCTTGGATACAAGCTTCTAGCATTGGCATGGGTCGCTGGCAGTCGTAGGTGTTGATGTTGGAGAGGAACTCGGCGCGGACCGCGGCCATGTAGTGTGGGTGTGTGGCGAGATGCATGAAGAGGAAGGTTAGGGCCGTGGACGTGGTCTCGCTGCCAGCGGAGATTATGAGGCGTGATTCGCCGTATAGAAGTTCGCGACCTTCAGGTGTTTTGGGCGTGGAGGTGATGAGATGAGATATTAGGTCCGGCTTCGCATCTCTGACCTAAAGGAGGGTGTTAGCAATGGCTTCGATTGAGATGTAGGGCAGGAATATGTACCTGCATGCGCGCTTTCATCTGGCTGACGCTCCAGTCTCGCCATTCCTTCATGGGTCCGGCGAATGAGGTAAGAACACCAACTGTGTTCATTAGCCACGGCATCAGATACATGTATCCCAAAGCCTGGACGCTGCCCATCATAGTAGCGAGAATACTCGCAGCGACGTCGCTTTGTTCGCCTTTGATGAAGCCCATGGGCTTGCCGAAGGCCAGCGCTGCCATGACGTCGTAGCTGTAATAGCTTGCATAGACAAGCAGCGGAATCGACCTCCCCTCTTCATTGCGCAATCTTGTGAGTAGCTGGTCTGTGAAGTTCTCGACTTGGGGGGCGTAGTCGGAAAGCGATGCCTTCATCGCATTGTCCCAGATCCTGCGGCGCTGGCGGTGGAACGCCTTGTCGCGATTGAGGTGCAACGACTTTTCCATGACGTCAAAGAACGGTCCTTTTGACGTCTGTGACTGAGCCCCGAGGATTGGTTGGATCGCAGCTGTATCGAAAATCGTGAGCTCACGTGGCCCTGACGGTGTTAGCACTGGATGTGGAAGGAAGTACACGGGTTGGACAGACCCGTCCTAACATAATCGCCGTATTGGCCTTGCAGCCGCTGAAGGACTCGATGGTAATGCAAGCTGCTGTCATATGTCTGCTTGACGGCCCACCATCTCGATAGTTTCGCAGCCCAAGGTCCAGGGTAGTCGTTGAGTGGGTGAAAGAAGGCACGGTACGCTCCGATGTACAGCCATAGTGGAACCCAGAAGGAACTCGTCACCAGTGTCGCGGCGATGAATCCAGTGTAATATGATAGAACCCAGTATGCGGTAATCGCTAGGCCAAGGATCTGAAGGGTCAAATGGTCGACTTCCACTCGTCGCAAAATGAACTCGTGCAGGATGACCGCCGATAAAGGTGCGAGCACAAAAACAGCGGTAGGAACCGAGCCCATGGTTTCTTGTGGATGGCACCGGGATCTTGTTTGGGGTTGCTAAAGTTCAGTGTATAGAGTGCTAGGGCGCGGTGGCCGAGGGCTATTTCTCGGTTGCTATCAAGTGAAGGCGACCGCCACATACCACAACCCCTTGAATAAGGGAGCCCTGGGAGTCAGTATCGCACCGTTGTGATTTCAGTGTGTGTTGTTTTTATCGGGAGTACAAAACGTGGAAGGTTTGCATGTGCGACGCGTTTGCTCGGAAGCCCAGAGTCACACGTGGAGACTGGTACGAGAACGCGATCGGCAGCCCCGGGTTATGAAGTGGGACATGGCCAGGTCTCTGTTCATCCTTCTTACCGTAGATTGCGACTGCAGCTGGTGCTCCGCAACAGGAATCTTGCCGCATAGTAATTAGTGTGCAAGGGTCAGCATTGGATTACTAGGTTTTGTTGCACACTATCGTACATAGCCGACTAGCGTCTCGGTGCGAACTCACGTCTAGTTAGTCTTCCAACGTGTCGATATCGTGGAGTTCTCTAGCGGACCAAAGCCGTTTAGTCGTCTGCGAAAGGAAGCATGTGGTGTAGCCTCAATTCTCCGAGCGCCGCATTATTGGATGCGGTTGCGCCGTAACGCGACGTGTGTGACTTTGGTGCGTAGATCAGACTTGGTGCTGCTGAGTGGCGCTTATCCTGTTCAAAGACGGCCTGGAAAAATGTAAGCATGTACATAAGTGTCTGCTAGGCGAGGTGGCGGCAGGGCTACATTCGCTTAGAGCGCATAGGCTGAATGGGAGAACAGGACATGGTTCCTCATTCCATGATTTCATGAATATCTTATCTGGTATTCAATTCGAGCCTCCAACCGTGCAATTTCGGGAGATGCGCATATCCATGAGCGTTGCCGAGAATGCGCCAGCATCTTACGGTTTCACTGTTGAACGGCAAGGTTGTACGGAAAGGATCTTGCGTGTACCCCCGTCTTAAGATCGCTGGCACCTGGCAAGGTAACTCAGGCTGCGTGTAAGATAAGTTCGATGCATGTCCGTGAGAAAACCCAAGGTCCTAGCGATCACGCCTTCCCTTCAAAGTTCCGACTCCTTCTGCGAATCCAAGAAATTCTCCGGCTGTGATGACCGCGATTACGACCATGTCGGGCGTTCTGGATGCGCCACCTGGCGTTGAGGCAGACTTCAGTGGTGAACGGTCGGATCTTCAGAAGAGAATCGTCGTGGTATATGCAGTCATGACGATACTTTCCACCTTCGTGCTTGGATTGCGATTGTATACGCGCATATTCATCCGCCGTATGACCGGCTTGGACGATGCGCTGGTGGTACTCAGCTGGTGCGGCTGCGTCGCATGGATGGTCATCTGTTTCCGAAGTGAGTCTGCCCCTCTGCTTACTCTGATACGCAACTGACCTCGAATGTAGCGTTCCAGTATGGCTTCGGTCAACATATGTGGAATGTGACTATGCAGCAAATGTTGGGCTATACGAAAATGCTCGTCGGTATCATGGTGGTGTATGTCTGGACTCCAGCTCTAGCTAAACTCTCGTTATTAGCTCTGTACTACCGACTCAATCCAGATCAGAAAGTCCAAGCAGCCATCTACGCATTGGCAGTCCTGGTCACTGGATACTCCGTGGCCATCACCATAGTCGCCGCCGGACCCTGCAATCCGCGAACCCATACGGACCAGAAGTGCCTTACAGACCTCAATCTGTTCATGGCCTGTATAAACATAATCACAGACTTCTTGATCCTGTGCCTGCCGATACCGATGTTGCGCGCCCTGCAACTACCTGTTAAACAAAAGATATTACTAGGCTTCGTTTTCGCTCTGGGATCTGGGTAAGTTGCCTCGGGTAATGCATCTGGCGTTCTGCGCTAACGGTCGTTGTAGTGTCGTCGTCATATCCACCGTCCGCATCATCTACGTCTACAGTATGATTAGCGATCCCGACGCAACTTACAACGTGGCCAAGGCATGTATCTTCTCTACGGTCGAGCTCAACGGCGGAGTCATTTGCGCATGCGTTGCGCTACTGAAGCCTTTCATACAGAAGTACATGCCCTGGATACTGGCCCTTTCGAGTGGAAGCGGAAGCGGAGATGGATCCAGGATTCGCAAGTTGAAGATGTTCGTGAAACGGAGCGGGGAGAAGAGTTATGAACTACAAAGTGCAGACGCAGATACAGATGCGACTAAACAGGCTGATGATAGGCCGGATCATCGTATTGCCGTCACCAAGTCATACAGCGTTCAAGGCTCGAAGACGGGTAAAAGCGATGGTGACAGCATGGAAGACCTTTTCGCGCCGAATGCGGGCTGGAATGGTGGTCGGTAGCCATCGCCCGTAGAATCGGTCGGGAATGTGATCGCGAGGACGTGTAAGGAGATTGAAGGGATTGCTTCAAACGGGAGTTCCTGATGATCACGCCGTCGCGGGCTTGGCACAAGCCCGATGGAAGGGACCACCCGTAGAAGGACCAGTACCTAGATAGCTGCAATACGACACCGGTGTTC